CATACCTTGATTGTAAATAGCTGGTGCTTGTCGAGGCAGCAGATGTTGCAGGATGATTTTATGGTAGTAACAATGAGGGTGTGTTAATTTGTTGTCTCTGGCTTTCCATGTAGCTACAGGTAACTTAAGTCCAGGATGACCGATAAGGACTGGAACAGAACTGGGGTCTCTTGAACTCTGGTTCTGTGTCTGAGAACTTCTCCAGTGTTGTGAAGTGAGTTACATGAATTAGTGCATTATATCAAAGACTTGTTGCAAATGTGAACAAAATTGTAATGTAGCATTATGGGATTGCATGACTTCAGTCTTTATGGTCTGTATGCTGGTTTTCAGAAGGCAGTAGTGTATATAGATGAGGAATTGTCGAAGAATGGGTGTGGTTAGTCAGTGGACATACACTTTCTAATTTAACTAACATTGCCTTGAAAAATAGAACTTACTTTCTAAAGAAAACTGCACAGTACAAATCAGTAGAGGCACGGCAGAGGAACAGAGGAGCGAGATAGGTGCTCTATACTAGAGTGTTTTGACAGCTTTTTCACTGATAGTAGGAGATGAGTTTCCGAGGAGAAAATAAGTCTCTAAAGCAATTTTAGTGCCACAGAGTGACTTGAATTTAGAATTGACTCTGTCACTTGAAATATTGTTTAAGAAGTGTTTGTGTGTGCAATTAGGTATGAAAGAGGAAGTGCTTCTCCAGATGACAACGTGCTCATTGTACAGCGATGGCCAGTGAGAGTCTTGCTTATTGCACCATAGTTGGCTAGCTCAGGTGCACTGCATGCTGTGGACGATTTGCTGGCTAGTATCAGTGAAGTCAGAGGTGCCAGGAGTTCTAACAAGGCCACTGCTGCAAGCTGAAAGCAATGTAAAAACGTTTCAGTTCAATAAAATTTCCTTCCCTTCCCTTGTATTTCCTTTATGGATCCATAAAAGTATTTCGGGATAAATTGCCTCATTCTTCTGGCTTGGCTCTAGTGTGTTTAACGTCTTGCTGCTGCTGTGCTTTAGTCCTTTCTGTCCTCTTCTTCCACGTGAGCAACTGCTGTGACTTTTTGACAGTAGAAGGCAGTATGAGCTACACTGGTCAAACTCCAGCTAAACTTGGTGTCTGTTGCAAAATCATTGCATTGACTGCTAGAATTAAATTAATTAGGATTAATGTCCTGATTTATTTGCTTATTTATGTCTGTTGTAATGGAACTTAAAAGTTCAGTTGACAGTAAGTCTGATGAATGTAATACAGTAGAAGCAATCTCAATAATGGGAGAAGGAAAGCTCTGTCACCTTTTACAAATGGGAAGCTGAGGCATGAGGCGTGGTATGCACAAGGGTGTATCAGGCCGACAGACATCTCCATCAGATTTTTCTGAATTCTTGTCCAGTGTTTCACCTGTTCAGAAATGTTCTAGGAGTCTTGGTGGAGCACACTGCCACTTTCTGTTATCTCCCTGTGCTGTCCTGTATCATGATCAGCTGCTGATATAGTTGTAGTTCCTTTTGGGATTGTTTATCAAGGAAAGACTTAAGAGAAGAAAAGGAAGAAAGCAAGTTGTGGCCCTGCCATTTAGCATTGCACTCTTCAGTATTTTTTTCCTGTTCGTGAGATAAGGAAGATACATGGCTGTGCTTCTTTCCATCATTTGAGAAAGGTGGATGAGAAAAGAATGAACACCTTTGTTTCACAAGTTTAGTGTAATGGTATCAAGTGAACTAACTTTGCAGTGAACTCGGGCAATATTGAGGTTCCATGTACCTTTGTATTTATACAACTGCTTCAGAATATAAAATTATTTACCTCTGAGAAAATTAATTCATTAACTTAACACCCCCACCCCCCCAAACAAACACACCAAAAAAACCCCAAAAGGTGCCAAACAAAACTCAAAACCTTTGGCTTACCTTTAACTTTTCTTTTTGGGTATTGCTGTCTCTAGAGCAACAATGCAAATGCTTCAAGTGCTGTTTCAGACGCTGGCAAGAATGCTTGGCTTGTCCTAATCTTGGGCCAATAATTGGTTCAAGATTCTACTTTAAACAGCTTTTAGCATATTGCTAAAATTAATGCATATGTACTGCTTCGTATCTTAATTAGCATTATGAAAACTAGATACACTGATGAAAGTACTTTTTAAAGGTGGATGACTGCTGATACTACTCTGGCTAGCTGATAGCATATTGTTGCCAAAATTTGTTTGTGCATCTGACAATTTGTAGTGTACAGAGCTTGACTTGATTGGGAAGGCTACAGTCAAAGCTCAGAGAAGAGGCAGGTAAAACAGTACTTTCTGTCTTGAAGGGCCTAGTGCTGCCACAGGTGAAGTGAAATGCAGCTCTAACACAAATACGTTACGTGATTGCCTGTGTCTGTCTTATCATTACTCTGACATTTTTGCATGACACCTAGAAAGTGGAGAGGGACGAGTTATCTGATTGTTGCGGGGAATGACGATAGCTATTGAACCCTGCCGGACAGGCACACTGGTGATACTGGAAGCATAGTCGCTCATGTATAGGAATGACGTGGAAAAATTGGGTTAACTTCTGGTGGCTGACTCTTGTCAGCAGTGGACTTCAGAAGCTTGCAAGCCAGACTTCTTGTGGATTCTGTGGGGTTTTTTTTAGTTGTTTAACTTTATATTGGTAAGTCAGTATGGTACACAATTTGATATACTTTAAAAAAAATGGAATGAGTTGAAGAACTATGGTTATATATGTATGTACACATATACACACGTGTATATGTAACTGACACACTTGAATGTTTTGTTTAAGTTTTGCACTTAGGTAGTAAACTTCCTAGTCCTTTGAACTTGAGCACAAATAATATTGACTCTGCAGAGGTTTTTGAGTAATGGTTGCTTCCTAAACCAACCTTTTCAGTCAATAATTTGTTTTTTTAATTTAGGATCTGCCTGGAGTGTCCAGTGTAGCAGGTAGGTAGGCTAAACAGTGAGGGAGACGGGTTTACTCTTTCTAACATTGAGTACTTTTCTACTTCTGCCCCACAAGCTGCTAGAAGAGCGAGTTCTGACAGACAAGAGTGAATTGAGCTTCTAAACAAGCTTCCTTTCAGAAAAGACTTACCTTTATTCGCATTTTAGCAGGCCAACTGCTCTTCATATCTCACATCCCAGGTAGATGGCTTCTAGCTGCCTCTTTCAAAAATAACATTTTCTTTCACCAATTTAGTGTTAGTTTGCAATAATCACTACCTTTAGAATAGAGAACTGTCCATTTAGTTACTATCCACTGTTTTTTCGCTAATTTCCACTACTTCTGGATCCTTCAAATTCTTGACTCAAGGTGCTGCTGGTAAAATTAAGCATTCTCTTGTCACCTAGATATTGTCAAAATTGTTTGTTCCAGAAGGTAAGGAAGTGCTTGAGCACAATATGAAATGGTCGTCCTGTCTTTAAAACTAAAGGCTAAATATGTTGGACTAAAGGTGTCTGCTGTTTTTGCTTCCTTGTGGGAAGTTTGACTGTTTCCTATTCCTGCTAGATGAAGATCCCATTTAATACCCACTCTTGTATAAGGTTCTCTATGTTTTTAAGTCTCACATGAAATGAGGTTAAGACAATGCTAGTGTTGAAGGAGGGGTGAAATGTGTCCTATGAGGCCTTTCTCCTGAGTTACAACTTGGTAGTGCGGTCTGTAATTTGGCAGTGATTTATTGACTTAAGCCTTCCATTTTGCAGTAAAAGGGCCTGTTTGTTTAATAGCCCCCTGTATGATTTTTCAGTAGTAGAAATTCCTGATCTGGACTGTATGTGAAGCAATATTTTCAGTACTGTATTGCTGCAGTGTTTAATACTAGCTACATTATCTAGTGAATGAACACCAATAAAAAAATAAATCTAAGCTCCATGAAGCTCACAAATCCCATTATGTACTTTTTAATAAAATCCTCAGGGCAGTATTGGAGCAGCCTACCTAATGATCCACCTTCCTGACTCTTCCTAACTTAAAGCCTGGAATATAAAAAGTGATTTAAGTGCCATAGCATATTTGAAATCAAGCTGTCCTTCCATGGAATACTCATGGCCTGAGGAAAATGTCACAGGGCTGCCTTCTCTTCTCACCGGGAGGTATGTTAAACTTGCAACAGAAAATGTTGTTACTAGTGTAGATGTATGTAATGAAAAGGTATTTGAGAAGCCTAACCTCGTATTCTTTACTCTGAAGTGTTCACCTGTAGAACAGAGAAAAGGGATCCTTGAATTACAGCAGATTATTCTGGCTCAGTCTGTACCTATTTGAGGGGATCTGTTGGAATGATGTAATATAAATTCTCTAGGTTATCAAACTGACACTGAAAAATAGTTGCCAACATAAGTGGATTCAGCCAAAGATGATTTTTTTTCTTGGCTGGGTTAGCTAGCATGATCCAGTCTGGCATATCAGTAGTGATAGATCTAGGGGTTAACTGGTGCTGTAGTGCACACAGGATGAACAGAGTCTTTCTTTGCTGATGATTTTTCAGTGACACTGGTTCTAAAATAAACAATGTTTGTTCTCATCAAAATGGAAACTAAATTGAAACAGCCAATTTTGGGTTTTGACTTAATGACTACATTTATAGTCTGTATATGCAAGACTTGCTCAAACAAGTGTGAACTTCTTACTGACGATTGTTCTGTTCCCCTTGTATTGTTGGGGTTCAGCGCCATTGTTAGTGTCTAAACCAGACCAGCCTACAGTCACTGCCACTGATTGCCTGCACTTCTCCTTTAAAAGTATCTTTAACTGTGACTTTACCAATGATTACGTGCTGTTTCTTTAAAGGCCATTTACATTAGGAACTTGTATTATTTACATCAGTGAAATGTCCTGGATAGTAGGCAGGTAGTGTCTTTGCTCCAGGTGCCTCCTCTCTTTTCTTGGATTAATATAGTTTTACAGAATGCCTCTTGCTTATCAGCTACTAAGGAAATTGCCTTTAAGAACTATGTAAAGATGTATAATCCTCTACATCTAACTTTTTTTCTTTTGCAGGAAGGGTTTCTCACCATGGCCATAACACAGTTTCGACTCTTTAAAATCTGTACTTGCCTGGCAGCAGTGCTTTCTTTCATTAAAAAGTTAATATGCAGGTAAACATATCTTATTTAATTTGGTTACCTTTTCTGTTTTAATTATAGGTTCTTGGACTTCTTCACTTCTCCCAACATCCCCACCCACCACTTTTCCCAGTTCTGATTTTACTAATTGCAAAACAATCAAGACAGATCAAAACTAAGTCAAATTCATTCTTTAACCTGCATATTCCTTCAGAGTTTAAAAGTCTGTGGTGCAGCTGTGAGTGTATTTTGTGGTATGATCTTTCTAATGAGGAGTGCTTTCTAAGTAGCTATGACAAGGTTTTTAAATTGCCTTTCAAAACTATCCCGTGTCAAACCTCAAGAAAAATTGTTCTCCACATTCTCTAGAAGTACTTGTCAAATGATACTTTGTTTTTCAAGAGACTCAGTTAACAGCAGCATCCACCCAGTCACCAGCCAGTAGGCTTTCATTATAAATGTGATTCTCACTCTACTTTGTGAAGAAACAGTTGCCTGAGACTTTAGATTCTTCTGCCTATTGATGATTCTTTCAAAAGTTTGGAGGACAGTGATTAAAGTTCAAGGGAACTGCTTTTTTTTTTTTTTTTAATGAACATGACTTATTTTTTGCTTACACTTGTAAGTCATACCTAGTGTTCTTTTGAGTTGTAGACTCGTGAGCGCAGCAGTGTGGTACCTAGAAGCATTCAAAAAACCCTCAAGAGTTCCAGCTGTAAAATAGTAGAGTTGAATAGTACAGTAGCAGAGTACCTGAGGCAGATCATCTTGGCACTGTGCTGTCACGTGAGCTACTGTTGCTTCTTGCCGCTCTTGCAGAATGTTGTTTTACATAAACAAATATCAATCTAGAGAAATGTATTCTCCTTTTGTGTGTGATGACTGCTACTTTGCCGGTGAGGTTAAAGTATATGCAGAAGACACAAAATAACTGTTTATTTCCTGTTCACCTTTACTTCCTGCAAGAATAAGAGGAAGCTCTCAACTGGTTTGTAAATTCACTACAGATCTAGTGAGACATTTTAATGCTGCACACAACTATATAGATGTCAACCTTAGTTCTGTGATTTGAATTCCAAATTAAATTAAGAGAACTTGCTGTTCAAGTTCTAAAAGAAGTCAGAGCACTGAGTTGATCATAGTTTCTGTATTATGTGGACACTTCGTCTCTCCAAGTGTTAAGATAACAATTATCTGCTTAGTGGGTGTAATGACAGTATTTTCAACTTTTGAATGAACTAAATTCTTGAACTGCTGAGGAACTCCTTGGGCATAAAAAGTAGGAGAACTTTTCTTCTGTGAGTAACAATAAGTTGAAAGAATGAAAATTTCAAATCTTTCACATAAGCAAGTCAGTGGATTAAATAGTTCAGTGCATTAGGTACAGATGTTTCTCCTGCTTAACATCAGCTGCAAAGCATAGCTTGGTAAGCTTTGTTTTCCTGCAATGCATCCCTGCATATGAGTATCCCTGATAACCAGCAAATTTGATTTAATTAAATGTGCATTTTAATTCAATGGGTAAGAGCCATTACTTACTTAGACTAAGTAGTTTACATCAGTTTTTCATTTAAACAAGTGCCTGTAGAGATCGTGCATCTTTCTAGTCGGTGTAAAGCCTACATATAGTACCAGTCATCTTTTTAGTTAAAACTTCTTTTGATAAACAGCCTGCCTGAATCCACTGTTTCCAGGAAATAAAAAGTGTAAGTATAAAAAGAGATGAAACTTCATTCTCTTTAAAATCTCTAGTTATCTTCTCCAGCTGAGAAGTCTGGATGCTGCTAATTAGTAAGGAGAAACAAAACCAAGAGTTATTGAGGCATTTGGCATTCAGAGCAGTAGTAATATCTGCATAATGACGGTTGTGAAGCAACTGTTCCTATAAGTATCCGGTTGCCTTTGCAGAAAGAGAAGTGGAGATGCGTAGCCATCCTCGGTGCTGTTCTGTGTAGCATATTCTTTCCCATGTTGTATGGCAGAAGCTGTTTCCTCCCACTTTCACCCATGGCAGTGTAATCATTTTGGCTAGATGAATGTTTGTTATAAGCTGGAATCTTCTAGGTCATATAAATATGGAAATATGTATAATTGCAGAAGTGATAGCTTAGAATATTATTAAAGATATGTACGGTGTACAGGTCTGAAGGAGTATGTTCCCAAGCTTGGGTTTGCTTTAGAGACATCAACTAACCTAGTCAGCTAGAACCAGGAGTCCCTAATGTGTTTGAAGGAACAGTGTTTTCACCTTCCTTTACTGCTAAACTGTGTTGCTTTTCAGCTTAAGGGAACAGTTTCTAAAGCGGCTAGAGTTAATTATATAAAGCTTGGCAATTTGATGATAGCACCTGCTCTTTCCTAAGGAAGAATCTATTGTGCTTAAAGTAGGAAAAATATATCTAATCACTCGCCAGCGTGCAGCAGAGGTGGTATTACAAGCAATTCAGCTGTTCTGAGTTGATGATAGAATGTTCCATAATAATGAAACTAATGGATACGGACTCCAAATTGTAGTTTCTGAGTCTTGTTTTCATCAGTAGTAGTAAATGAAACCTAACTTTTCCAAGCTGCCTAGGGTCAATTATGTGACTGTCTTGCTGTAGGAGCTTACACTCCTTGGGGACAACATGAGTGTGAGCCTGAATTTCATTCTTTTGTGTTTTCAGGTTTTAAAATATAGTGAATATCAGCTAATAATATTTTAATTATTATGATCTTTGAATGGTGTCGTTAAGTAAATAGAGCGTTTATTTGCAATGCATTAGTGTTTGGTTTTAGTTAAAATTATTTGATACAGTTGCTGAAATGCTTTCATTGAAACAGTATTCTCTAAGTAAGTAGAAGCATGTATTGAACAGAAGCTGCTGATTTGCATAATCTTTTACTACCTCTGTTTAGACTTGGAAGGAAAAAGTGCTTTAGAGGGGCTTTCAAATCAAGCAGCTCAAACTGATTTGTTAGGCATAGTTTAACATCCAAGACAAGTAGATTTCTCAGTTTACAGTAAAATGGTTATCTTTGAACAAGTGTAGGTCGATAGTGTTTGCTTCATAAGCACTGACAATCTAAAAATTGTAGCTGACTGTATGCAGATAACTGAGTTAATTTGTCTATTTTTGTAGTTCTTAGAGTTGCTTCTCCTCTATTTCCACTGCAGTTTGAAAAGTCGATAGCACTTTGAAATTCTTGTGAACACCACTTTAAATTCATGATGAAATTCCTTTGTTTAGCAGACTTTTACAGGCAGTAGTTAATACCAAGGTAGTTTAAGCACTTAATGTTTTAGCCATGACTCTTTTCAGTAGTGCTGTTCTCAGACTTCCTTTTTGTTTTTTTTAAACTTAGTGCTCATGTTTTCAGAGCTTGGAGGAATCCTACATTTTTCTTTCAGGTCTGGAAGAGGGCGAAAGTTAAGTGGAGACCAAATAACTTTGCCAACCACAGTGGATTATTCATCTGTTCCTAAACAGGTAAGTGCTTAAGTGGTAGGTGACTTGATAGGCAATCACTGAACAGAGTTATGTAGCATGTATAATAATATTATGTCTTTCTAATATTAAGTATATATCTTAGCAAGATATAAAAAGACAAACTTTTACTTGCAGGTAGTATTAACTTGTACCATGTCCTTCTATTCAGCCTGAAGTAGAAGACTGGTCTTCATGGGATGAAGATGCACCTACCAGTGTGAAGATTGAAGGTGGCAATGGTAATGTGGCTGCTCAGCAAAATCCTTTGGAACAAATGGAACCTGATTATTTCAAAGATATGACACCAACTATAAGAAAAACTCAAAAAGTAAGTATTGCACTTTCAGCTATACTTATGGGGGGTTTTCCTTGCTTTAAAATAGGCTGTAAGTAAATTGGCAACTTATAGAGGGTGCTGCTGGTAAAATTAAGCTGTCCTGTTGAAATGAGAATAGGTGCTGATGTGTAATCTCACATGTCCAATTAAAAATCCTGACTCTGAGATCTTGACAAATGTGATGCTAGTTCATGTTTACATCTTTAGTCTTCATGCTATTGGAAACTTATGAATAATTTCGTAGTCTGAAGGCTCTGGGAAGTATAATGTGAGACCCTCAAGTCATTTCAATTCTGAAAATGGAACTGCTACTCTAAGTGCTCATACACTTCTGTTATTTGAACAGAGACATTTCCTGTCCTGCTCTACTGAAGTCTGAGGTAGCAGCACTGCTGTTTGAGAAAACAGTGATTACTTGTTCCACCAAGCTCTGTTGGGGAGGCTGGAATTAGGGGGCTGATATTCCAAAATAGCTTGCTTTTCAAATATCCCTTTTTATTACGGAGACAAGACAGAAGGGCATATCCACAAGAGCAACACGGTAAATAAATGCTGATTAAACTTCTGGTACTTGCAAGTTCTGTTTCTATGTGGAAATCTTCCAGCTGGGTCCTTCCAGGGCTTTGAGTCAATTGGAGAACCTTTTTCACAACAAAGGCAGTCAAGTACTGGAACAGCTTACAGGAAAGGCTGTGCAGGCTCCATCTCTGGACATTTTCAAGTCCCAAGTGGATAAGCCCTGAGTATAAGCCTCAGAGCTGACAGTGCTTTGAGGAGGAGGTTGGGTTACAGACTTCCTGAGGCCCTTTCCAACCTGTGGTCCTATGAACTGGAGATGATACTGGGGTCAGTTTTCTGTCCATTCAGGATCTGCAGTATTCTGCAGACAAAATTCTTCTAAGGATTTTGATCTCCCAAAATCTGGAAGGCAGAGGAGGACTGGGAAGAGGTAGATTCTCCTTTGTATCTAATGGCATTTTTTACCTAATGGAATGAGCTTCAGGTTGAGAACAAAACTGGAGAAGAGTCCACGCTGTTTGAATACTGTATCCTGGGTTTGGTTTAAATGTATCTCTAGGGATGACAGCAGGCACTGCTAACTTGGCCTTGTTACCACCCTTAAATACAAGTTTGTGTTTGTATTTCCACCAATCTGGGCTCAATGTAAACCTGAAGATCTGAGAGGAACATACTCGTGTTACGGCTCATATCTGGAAATGGATCTTCAGTCAAATAACATAGTCTGTCATTGCTAAAACTGGTGTTCTAGTCCTGTTTCCTTTCTTGCATTGGTACTAGCATTTGTACAGTCAGTGGAGCTGTGAACCCGCCTCTTTTGGAAGCAGCAGAGGCTTAAAGTAGGCTAAATGAAATAGGTGAGTACGTTCGTATCTTGAGGTCAAGACAAGTAAGGAATACATGATCTTAGCAGCCATGTTAAATGTGCTAATAAGGAAAAGCATTAGGGCATGTTTTTCAGCCAAATCAGTACAGAGCTTTACCAGTTGCTGTGACAGTGGACTACATTGCAACTGTTGAAACTTAAATTGTCTGCACAGATAGGCTGTTGAAGTAGCTAAGAGAGCTCGTGTTCCAAAGCAGTACAGATGTGCAGACAGTGCTATCCTCAAGAGTAGCACCTTACAGTGACCTGTTATGGAAGCAGGATTTCTCCAAGGAATAGGTCGTTATGTTTGTATGAGTACTGGGAGATGTGGCTATTTGATCTGTAATTCTTTGTGCCCTTTCTCTGTCTTGATACAGTCATAGGTTTCCATGTGACTTAAGAAAAAGCTAGTGGGTGGAAGAGAGAGTTCTTGTGTCCTTTGCGTTTAGCTTCTCTCACTTTACGCTTCATCTGGCTGTAACAGCTTCCGGAACCTGGGCAGGATGGAGACGCGGTGTGGTGTTGAGTAGCTGTACCCTCACAGAGTTATATGGTCATCAAGGAATCTGGGCAGTGCTTTGACTTACCACTTTTCTTCCTTTTTTTTTGAATACTTTCAGATAGTTATTAAAAAACGAGAGCCTTTAAATTTTGGGATTCCAGAGGGAAACACAGGATTCTCTAGCAGATTAGCAGCTACACAAGATATTCCATTTATTCACCAGTCTGTAAGTATGCTCTGAGTATTGATTTTGTATTTCACAGTTAAATGACTGTTCTGTAGGAGAAGGAATAGTCTGCCTAGAGGTCTGCATTGTGGGAGTAAAAGGAGTAGTTATGGAATAATGTAAATTGTTTTAAAATTGAATAGTTGGTTTAAACCAATGAAGTAGTTAATCTAATTTTAACTAATTTATTCTACTGAGAAACTTAGCAGGACAGTGATCACAAGGTAAGAAGCTTCCAAACACTTGTATACTTGCAAATCTTCTAAAGCAACGGGCTATACTTTGGTGGGGTGGGATTCTTCACAGTGAGTTCCTAATGAAAGAGTAGAAGGCTTTTGTTTGGTTATTTTTGTTTGTTTTTAATTATTATATTTAAAGCCTCTAGGTTACCTTTGCTTTGTTATCTTGGACCCATTTTTAACTTTCTGCTCCTTCCTTCCTTTCTGTAGGAATTGTATTCTAACAGTCTCCTCATTTTTGCTCTTTAGCCTTCGAAAAAATAGTGTAGTTACCTAACAGCCTGGCTGTTTAGAGGGAGATTCTCTCCTTCCCTTCCCCTTTGCCTTCTTTAACAGTGTTTCTGCTTTGATCAACATAGTGCACCAAAGGGTCTAGGCAGAAAGCAGTACAGAATGGCCATACCACTTCCTTAGAGAGATCATAATGAAAATAACTCAGGAAAGGGCTTTAGTGAGCAGCACTCAGGTGATACTGGACACACAAACGTGTGGATGTACGTATTGGTTTGTCAATGCAACTTCCAGAAATCTTTTACGCTCTCTACTTACTTCATCTGCTCAACTTACTTTCTCCTTCATAAAAATGCACTCCAATACTTCCTTCCTTCCTTTGATACCCACCAACAGAATCAAAAAAACCCCTCCAACAATTAACTGGAAAAAGTCAGTATTACAGCAGGGGAAAACGCATAGACAGTAAGCTGAGAAGTGCTGTCGTATCTCAAACGTTTCTGGTAGTCCGAAGCATCAAGGTTAAAAATAAAAGGCTTTTATCTAATTTTTCCGTGTGCTTAGAGCTTCTCTTCTTTTGTTTCAGCCTGAACTGGGAGACTTGGATACTTGGCAAGAAAATACTAATGCCTGGGAAGAAGAGGAAGATGCTGCCTGGCAGGCAGAAGAAGTTCTTAGGTAACTGAAAATAATGTAACACCATGTAAACCTTTTACATGTAAGAGAATCAAATACAGGTTGGTTTGTTGAAACACCTTTCTGGAAAGTGCTAAGAATTGTTAAACGATTCTTAAGACAAATTATTTTTATGCATCTAATCTCTATGTAACTGGTACTTGGCAGAATACATTTTGGGTTCAACCAGTTTAGTAAATGAGATAGTAGGGGTAATCTGAGAATCACTAGAACATTGGAACAACATATTAACCCCAGCCCCAGCAATTCAAGTAGGATGTTTCAAGTTGATGAAGTAAAACGCCACTGGACGTCCTTGTAAAAAGGATCATAACCGTGTGCTGTAAAGTGAAAATAGGGTAGAAGGTGAAGTGATTGGTATGTTCTTGGAATCCCCATAGGAGCTATGCTTTTCTAGCTGACTTAACTAAACTGGCTGATACGGTTCGAATGTAAAATCAGTGTCTTTCACAAAGTTAGTGTGAATACTTCATCTGTTCCATTTGTGTTCTCTTATTTTTTTCATCTTGAGAACGTGCCAAGGGAGCATGAAGGGTAGAGAGATGCAAACCGAGTTTAAGTTAATCACATGCAATGATTTGAATTGTCAGTGACTCGTGTTAAGCGGTTTCATTTCAAGCTTTTATCAAACTTTAATTGCTTGCTACATCGTCGGATAACCTGCCTCAGATGGCTCCAGCTTCCTAAACTGCTCTCATTCTTCTCACAGAATCACAAATACATGGCTTCCATGGGACAATAGTGATAATATGAAGTAAGGACATGTTATATTCAAAAATCATTCTAGAACTATGAATCTTTAAAGGAAAAAAAGCTATTTTTGCAAAAAAAAAAAAAGGATTCTGGTCAATTATTTATTGTCCTATTTGGGAAAATTTACTTTTTTCAACCAGTAGAATAAGAGAAGTGGGAAGTCACCAGCACACTTTTGATGCATTAATGATAGATAATAAATTCAGCCAATTCTAATTCTGTCAGTCTTGCTCTGCAGCAGCTTAACATGTGTGAATAGGGCTGTAATGCAGATACTTCTGTAAACTTCATCAGATAGCTCTGTGTGTACATTCTGGTCAATATCTTGGGTTTGTTTTTTTTTTTTACTTCAGTACTGAGACTGTTTCAGGTCTTGTCTTTCACTGATGTATCACAGACATACAAGCTGTGTGATACGAATGATGTGCCTTTGGGCTGTTCTTGTTCCAAGGATAGTAGCTTTTCCTGTAAAGAATATCAATAGGCTCAGTAAGATCTTTAATCTCTAAAGTGCAATCCGCTGAGACTTAATCTATGGTGCACCAGACAAAGAAAATGAAGGGCAGTGGAAAATACTGCTTTTTTTGAACTGAGAAATGAAACAATTACTTTTGCTAACTGCAGAGGCCACACTGTACTTTACTTAACCCTTGTCACATTCCATTACAGATGTTTTTAGGAGCATGAAAAGAAATACTCAAACTTACCAAAGCAGAGACTTGTCTTATACAAATTAGCTGCTAAAAATAATCTGGTGTGTGCATACACCAGTTTATTTCTGGTGTGTGAAACTCTTGTACTGGATATTTCCAGGATGGTCAAAGTTATTCTGTTTGCCAGTTGTCGGGTTCATGCTCTAGAACACTTAATAAGAGGTGGCAATAGCAGTGGGGTTTTCCCACGAACTCTGTTTTTCGAAGTGTCATCTTACTTGGTTGAGGCTGTTCTGAAGATTTCGGCCTGGCATCTTTACTATTGAAAGGCTTCAGCTGAAGTGATTAATTTTTATAGAATTCCTTCCTGGCCCCACTAAAAAGTATCAAACTTGATTTGTTTTAGAAGGCATGTGTACGCGTCCAGATATTTCAAGTAAATAGGATGAACATGATCAGAACTGTAACTGTGTTGCATAAAGCTTGGCCAGCTGTGAACGGCCACCTCAGTACAACTGATCATTGTGTAAGCTGTATCCCAGCTGTTTTATTCATGGCATGTCAACTTAAAATGTTTTTCTGTGATTGAGGAAAGTACTGTCTGATTTTTAGCAAGATTGATAGGAAATACCTTCTGGGTTTACAGTTCCTCTTGCAGTAGACATTTGTGGTGTAATTAACATCTGACATTTAACATAAAACTTTAGTACTTGACAGACCTGGTTCTGTTCTCAACAGGCTGTAGTAAGGAAGTGAGCTGAGTCCCTTCTTAATGCTGCAAGACTGCATCTTGGTCTACAAAATGATCTGAAGATTTCAGACTGCTAAATGGGGGACCAAGTCCCCCTAACCCTCCAGAGCGTTAATGCTGACTGTACTCCAGCAGTGCTTATTGAGAATGAAATGAGTGTGCAGAAACACTAAGGATCTCCCTTAGCTGCTGTGTCTGGGTACCTCTTGGTGCTCAGTAAGTACTCAGAAGTATCTTAAACTGGAATAATTTTTGTGTAGTAATGGAGTGCTGATCAGTCATTCAAAAATGGGCTGTGGCCTGCGAAACAGCAGAGAAGGCTGTATTCTGTGGCCTTTCTGGTGACTCAACGTGTATGTGTAACAGTTGAATTAAGCATGTATAGTAACCCAAATGCTTCCTGGAAGCAAAGCATGCTGACAGACAGTGCTGAGGAGTAGGCTACTAGTGCCAAGAAGTTCTGTAGTCTGGGTTTTTTCCCCACTCCCCTGCAGGTTCTGGGCTGGGATGCACTGAGATTTTCCTGTCGGTGATGAATCAGTGTAGTGGATGATAAACTGGATTTTCAGTTAACTGAAGTTAGTTGGAACTTAGGTTTCCACAATTTGCAGAAGAAACCATCTGCATCTTTAGGCTTTCTGATACCGCTGAAGTATTTTTCCCAGTGGGAGCCATTAAGCTAAACGCTGGCACGTTTTTAGTTGTGTTGAAGTAAAAGAGCAAATGGTATGAAATCTTTCTTATTGCAGTTACTCAGAAGGTGTACAGTAAATAGAAGCATACTGGAATAAGAATGTCTGCTAACAGTGTTCTGATTATAATTTGTGTTCTGCTAACCAATGAGAGAAGTTTAGGGTTTTGTGGGCATAACTTCTGTTAGGAATGCAAAGCACATTTGGCATCAGGAGTGAATACTTTCCTGGTTTAAAGAACTTACGGTATTCCATCCAAACTCTGCTGAACTCCTTGCTTTGGAACCTAGAAAAAGTGAGTCATATGGCTGCAGTTCTTCATAGGCTCTTATTTTACTGCAAAATGAAACCTTTCTGAGCATGAAAGGTAATAACTTTACGTTGAAGCCATGCAGGGAGTTTGGAATAGAGATCAATGTTTTGAATAATGACCAGGTGAAAGAGCAGTGGAAAGGTGATCACTTTGTGGTAAGCTACTTGTTTGTATTTTATGGTGACTTGAGTTCTGCTCGAGGTGATGTGAAGGTCTCTTCTCATTTAGGCATAACTGAAGTCCGGTAAAATCACTCAGCCAGTAGAGGGCATGGAAACACCTCTCTGCGCAGAGGAGGTCTGTGTTGTGCAGTTTTAGGGCAGGGAAGAAACATGGTGTGCTATGACTTCCCTCACTTCAGAACTGCAAATGAATAGCAGCACTGTTTAACACTTCATGTGGCTTTTTGGAGCTCTACTGTCTCTACATGCTTGCTGGTGCACATAGAGCTGCTTCCCTTCTGCGTCGGTTCAAAGGTGTGGGGAATATGAGAAAATCTGCTACTGTGAAGTGGCAAATATTATTATCTGCATGTGCTAGACTGACAGCGCTGCCGATAATCTGGCTTTCTGGTAGAATGTAGAATAGTGGGTCATGATCTCAAAAAAAAAAAAAAAAAAAAAAAAAAGTTTGGGCTTCCATTGACTTGGGAGGTGGATCCTGACGTGAATGACTGATTTCATTCTTCCCTGACAGACAGCAGAGCAGTTTAATAGAGTGTAGGAAAACTTCTTGCCATTAATAATCAATCAAGGGAAGCCGTGAAGGTATTTAATAAGTGCAGTCCTTCTCCTGTCCAATACAAAGATAATAAGTAGTGTTTGTACCTTAAATATTTCTGTGTGCCCAGTTTGTCTATAGCTGGAATCTACGAGAGAAGGCTGCTTCAGGTGATGATAGCATTTAGTTCTGTATATTTTACACACTTAAGTGGGTGTACACAGTTAGTCTAGATAAATTGAAATTAACTCCTTACTGCCTTGTCAATTAGAATTCTTTATTTTCTTTTCATAAGCAATTCTTTATTCTTATGAAACTGTGTTAAATTTCACCTTTTCAAGTTAATGAAGCTTCATTTTTATTTTGAAATTCCTCTTGCAAGCAACTTAGCAAATTTTCATATCTAATGAACTGAATCCAAAGCAGGAGTGATCTCCTCACGCCATTCTGTTACGACTTACGCAATACAGGAGAGAGGTGCAATGTGCCACGTGGAGTATGGCTCCAGCTGTTGCCCCTGCGCCGCTCAGGGATGTGTCTAGCTGAAGTGGGGGAATAAAATGAGTGGATCTCTGTTGGTTTTTTCCTTTGCTCTAGTCAGCTATGTATTTGTTCATATTTGAAGCCTATTCCTGTAGACAGATTCTTTGACCTGGCAGGTAGCGATGTCTGGGGGTAAGTGATAAGAAATAATGCTAAAGGACACACAAGTGAAGACTTCTTAATTATTTTTTTATTTCCTTAAAGGCTATTGTTTATATTTGTACAGAATAATAGAGTACAACACAGATCCCGAACGTTGGAAAGGCATTGTTAGAAGTTGTCTCCTGTGATCATGAGCAAAATGTTTGTAGTGCTTGCATTACAAAAAGGATAACTACTGATGCCTCTGCTGAGGAAAAATGGGGACACAAGTCAGTGTTCTAGACAAGTCAACCTGTTTTGGTTGGAATTTGAGAAGACGGGTAATCTTGCTACTCAAAGCATGAGATAGATTTCCCTCCCAATAGTTCTAGGCCTTAGAACTGTCCTACGCTCTCACTGATTCACTCACCCTGAATCTTTGAGAACTGAGTGACTTTTAGATTGTAAAGTAATTGAACAAATACTACTGCCTGAGACTAGATCAGTCTGAAAAAAGCACTTCAACACAACAAAAGAATAACTATTCTGAGCCTAACTACAATGGACTGAAGCTCCATTTTTATTAATTATGATAACCTATTTATTGACAGGAACTTAAGGCATGACCATGCTAAACATTGGATTCCTGTTACTTAGCAATTAATGTTTCCTTGAATTGCAGACAACAGAAGATAGCAGAAAGGGAAAAAAGAGCAGCAGAGCAACAGCGAAAGAAAATGGAGAAAGAGGCCCAAAGGCTAATGAAAAAGGAACAAAACAAAATTGGAGTAAAACTGTCCTAACAGAAACCCGGCATCAGTGGCAGTGCCAGTGACAAAGAGAATTTCAGCTCTCCAGCATACATATTGGTATTGATTTAAGTATTTCTAGGACTTCAACACACTGCTTGGTTTCAGTGCATTCTTCAGGTCATCTTGGAAGCCAGGATTCTCCCGAAATATCTTGAACTACTAGTAGGTGGTTCTTAAAGGAGAAAAACCCCACAGAAAATCATGCCTTGATGGAATGGTGTTTCCTGCAATAGTTCTATTCCAGCACCCTTCTTTGCACCAAAAGTGTTTGATCAAGGATGTTGATTGAAGGACACTCTTAATGAACAGCTCAAGCCTAGGGAAGAGAATGTAAATATTCAGTGGTGGGAAATCTACTGTATTGTCCGTGCTTACCTGAAACATGTAATTAAACAGTTTTAAAGAACCCTTTGCTTCCTGCCTGATAAAGAATGTCTGCTTTTGCCTTTTATAAAGTCTTTATAAATACTTCAGAGTTTTCCATGGGAGATCATACTGACTGGTGCAGAAGAAAATAACTTGTTACGGGTGACCTGCAACGCTACACGTACTCCTGGAAGAGGAGTGTGCTGTGGTAGAGCACGAGTGACAGCTGAACACGAGAGTGGGTTTCGTGTCACGTTGTCACTCGCGGCTCCCTTGCCCGCTTACGTGTGACGCTGCGATGGCTACAGCAGTGCCGTCACCCCCACAGCGCTGCACGCTGCTCCCTTCTTGCGAAAGCTGGCAGTGTGAACGTAGGGGAGCGACTGAAGCACTTATTTGTATTGGTAAATTTGTATTCCTAGCAGAAATTCTTTTACTTCCTACAGTTAGGAAAAAAAAATCCTCACACCTTACACTTGCTGCATAGGTAGTATAAGTGGGGAAAAAGATTGTGTCCTCCTGTTAATAAAGGTAGTGTGAAAATTCTCAGTTAACAGCACTTCTCAAATTCCTTTTTTTTTTTTTTTTTTGTACACTTCCTGTGTGTATTTACACTGGAATTCCTCTGGCAAAGTGTGCACGGCAAATACTCTCAGTAGAAGAGAACAGTGCTTTAATGAAGAAGAAAAGTTTAATGTCTACTGGAAGGAAGGGTGTATGGGAGGAGGGGAGTCCACATGGTTCTTTCGTGCAGCTCGAAGCTGCAGTGAATGCTGCCGCCTTCTGTGCGGATCCTGTTATCCCTGACTTCATGGGTTGTCTGGATTTCTTATCTTGTGACAGGTGAGAGAATACAGCAAATTCTGTGCATACAGGGAACAGAACAGTAAGGGGTGGGGGGCTAGATCGTGCCTGCCTAGAAAAATAGAATTTTTAACTTAGGTTCTGACACAAGTTTTTCTTAAAAGGTAAGTAATTGAGAAATCAAGATGGGAAGAATTACTTCTAATGGCCTTAGTCATGGAGAAAAGTTTTTGAAAATGTTTAGTATGCTTGTCATGTTACTTAAAGTCTTGCACACATCAACGGATTCGACAGCAATGTTCCGATAAGAAAAGTGCTTGAGAAATGTTAAATTTTAAAAGATATTTCAGAAGGCAACAAATACACTTTTGTGCGTATTTTCTGCACAAGTGTTCTGGCTGGAGCAGAATGGATGAGTACAGCCTGGGCAGACTGAAGAGCCGTATGGCAGGCAAATCTGCGCCTAGTACACACCTCTGGTGGTGGATGGAAGAAAAGGAGAAAGTCTGTGAGTAAGCTTTAGTAATGACTTATGTCTGTCCTTTTAACTGCACCGATGAAGTGAGGAGGTACAAGTCACAATTCTTTCACTATTGCCGACACAGGGCAGGGAAACCTGGTATTTATTGCCTACTAAAGGTAAATCCTGTTGCTAGCTACGTCGCATCTTCTAAAAAAACCTAATGCTTACTATTGCTATTTCTGAGACAACGTAAAATAGATGAAAATACTGTTTGTTAAAAATAAGAAAACAGGAGCTAGCTACTAAAAAGTTAGAAACAAAGACCCTGAACACGTGAAAGTACATGTGTGTTTTGAGCCATCAGCCATTTTAAAAACCATTCGGTGATGTCACCATCTTGCATGTCAGCCCTCTGGCATGAGGTGTGTTTGTAGCAACAACTGGCATATCCTCTGTAGATCAGGGAACAAAGGCCTTCGTTGCCTCCTGCTGCAGAAGAAACCCATGTAGTTGCAGGTGAATATCTCTCCTACAACTGAAGATCACTTTTGCTCTAAATTATGCTCCATTTCTCCACCACTCAAAGGGAAGGTCGCTTAAACAATAGCGCCTGCAAGAGAAACCCAAAATTGCAATAAAGTTGGTGACATTGGGTATAAAATATTGCTCTCTTGGCCTTGAACAGACATATTTTGAAGGAGGAATAAGGCATTTTCTGTAATGTGTTCCGGTCCCAAGAGGCGGTATCTAGGATTGATGAAATTCCATGCTTGTGTAAAATTTACATTAAGCACCCTCCAATATTAATTTTGGCCCTAGTGTCCATGTAATTAGAAAGCTGTTGGAAGTGACCTTTGTGCAGCACGTACTGCGGCAGTGTCACAAGGCAAGCCTGCTGCCGAGGTTTGGGCCCAGCCGCCAGCAAAGCCCTGTGCAGCCGCTCACCCGCTCCTCCTCCACGGTGGGGTGGGGAAAAGGGAATATAACGAAAGGCTTGTGGGTGGAGACAAGGACAGGGAGGGCGCACTCACCAGTTACTGTCATGGGCAAAACGGACTCGGCTTGTGGGGAAAAAAATTAATTTGTTACCAATCAGATCAGAGTAGGATAATGAGAAAGAAATCCAAAGTTTATTTCCTGCGCCTACACCTTCCCTGCATCCCTCCCTCCCTGGCTCAACTTCACTCCTGATTGTCTCTACCTCCTCCCCCTCAGGGGCGCAGGGGGACAGGGAATGGGGGTTGGGGTCAGTTCATCACACGTTGTCTCTGCTGCTCCTTTCCCCTTGGCGGAGGACTCCTTACCATGCAGGAACCCAAGAAGGCAGGACAGCATGGAAGAGGATGTTACTGAGAAAACAAAAGCAAGATGCGAACTCTTGGGGACTGTGTCACATCAAATTGTCTGTTAGATTTCTCTTCCTTGATACAACACTTAATGAACCCTCTTGAATCTTGGTTGCGAACACAAGTAATTCAGAACCCAGGCAGTGCAGGGAGGTGAAAGGTCTCCAAGTCGCCTCTGTAAGCAGCAGCGTGTATCACCCTCTTGAGTGTTGCAAATGCTCCCCACATGCTGGCCAGTTATTCCTCCCTTGTGGCTTACTACTGACTCCCTTCTTCCCAAAAGGTGCAGAACAATGCATGGCACCGTCAGGCTTCACTAGACCTCTTCTGCTCTGGGTTGCACAGGGAAATAGTACCCTTGCTTTGCTCAAAGGGAAAACGGGAAGCCAAGGAGGTTTACAGGGCCAGAAGTGTTGCTGAAAGCTTGGGTGGAGCCAGACAAACCCCACTGTTCATCTGATGGATAATATTGCCCTCCTCTGACTATGCACAAATTTCAAGTTTTGAAGAATTCGTGGTTTGGTGGTCACAGTTGCACCTCAGTGTGCGCACCAAGACTGCATGACTCTCGACCGGGTTAAACAAAGCCTTCTGGACCTCTGTTAAATGCCAGGAAGACTGATAGTCTTCTGGGAGCGCAGAAACGAGAAGGTACAGGTTTCCAGAAGATTGCATTGGGTTAAAGATCAGGTCGCTTGCATCGGTTAATGCTGCATGGGCACGGCAGAGCGGGTGGCATGTGTGTGCACAGACCCGCTGGAGCCTTTTTCTCTGGCTGAGTGCTTATGCTTGGAGCTGTACTTAGGTTTTCTTGGTCTAACTCTGTTCCCTGGGTCCTGATGGTTCCTTATGCCCTGACACGGTGCCTCCTCCCGCTCGACCTGTGCCCAACAGCTCAGCTGAGACGGGGTATTTTTTATAGCTTTGCTACAATAAAACACTTGCATGTGTTTGACATTTTTAACATGCTTTATTGAACTTGTGATTATAAAGGTAAATAATAAAGCAATTAAATAAACAATAAGTTAAAACACAATAACATTTATACATAGTATTTCAAAAGGCTCAAAAGACTATCAGTTTCCAATACATTAAGACTTTAAAACAACATTAAGATTCAAAGTGTATCCACGCCTATACTTACCATTATAACAAGTTTCAAGACTCTCTACGACGTACATTTTTGGTTACAGTCCCCTTATACGCACAAGACCAGTGAAATGCTCGAGCAGTTGTACGATTGAGAAGAGCACTACACGAGACAGGCACGAATGATGTGCTGGAAGCTGCCTGGGGAATATGGGGTTTACTTCTAAATTGAATTGACACTTTGGACAACAAATGGAAAGCGCTAGCATGCTTTCTGGAGCCCATGTGTGATACACGTAGCGGGAACGAGTCTCCATGTCACTTACTTACTTACTTACTTACTTAACACTAGTTTCGCAAACGTTTTAGGTTAGTGCTGCCTGAAGAAATTCCCCACTTTTCTCTGGCCATTTGTTCCCCATGTGCATCTTGCACTACCCCGAGCCAGTGCAAAGCACTTGTACATTTGCTCAGTGAACCAGGGGAGGCAGCTGAGCCTAACGCTAACTCAGCACACAAACGTGAAAGCTGTAATTCTCCTTGATTTCCCCCGCCACGTTCATGGTGCAGATGCACTGGCACCAGAAAGACACCAGCACAGGGTAGGGACATGGTGCCGGGGAGCAGGAGGACTATTTCTGCAGGCAGCAGTACTGTTGTTAAAAACATCTTGTGGAACTACAAGGTTCAACTTTTTTATTTTGAAAGAAGGAACATGTTTTCAAACCAATTTATAGTGCAAATGAAATAGTAAAAAGCAAAATTATGGACTCTGCCAGAATATACAATAACTTTTTATGATCTATCTCATCCCTTCTTCTCTCTGCCTCAGCCAGTTGGTGACCAGGGACAGAGTGGACTTTAGGTTTTAATATTGAAGGGTGTACGGCGTAAAGAGTGCAGGGCCACCAGGCAGCAACCGCGAAGCAATGCTCCGATATTGTAAATGGGATCTGTTCCTCCTCTCTGAGTACTGAAAGCCCACATGACAGTTGGTACAACAGGGGCTGCTACAGCCAGAACATCTCTGAGGAGGCTGCTGCTCCAGTATCTCTTCTTCATTCCTGTCTGAGACAATGCATTGACATACCCAGAGCCTTCATCATCATGAGGGTCTGTAAAATCAAGTTCTTTCATGAAACGGTTTTCATTAACTCCGTGCTCCACCTTCGTGCATGGAGACTCCATAGGAGACAAAAGGATGGCAGAGTTTGGATCACTTGGAGTTAAGTCCATTATGATACCAGAATCACTGAATCTCCCAAGAGAAAGTGCACGCAATTCCTTCAGTGAAGCAGGTGGGTTTAGACCAGGACAGGCATCTTGAGCTCTGAAGATGTTTTGAAGGAGCTGCTCCACATCTAGGCTATATGGCACCACGTCAGTCTGGACGGCCTGTTCCACCATCACTTTGCTGCTTTTCTGCTGCTCCTGGGAAGAAGTCAGTTTTTCATCCAGAACAGTTTCCAGCATCCCTTTATTCCCAGCAGAACTGGAGCGAGCTGGACCAGTCAAGTCAGAAGTTGCGACAGTCAAAGTCTCTTCAGATGAATCAGTCACATTAGCTTTGTTGTCACTAAGAAGCATCCCACTATCTGCCATCTCCTCCAGAGCTTGGTCTTCTGTGATGAGGCTGTCTGACGCTGTGGCATACAATGCTGACTTCACCTCCGAGTCACATGTATACTCCAGGCACTCTTCATCCCTCACAGAGCTGTTCTGAGCCACTTCCATGCTCTGCAGCAAAGATTCCAGTTTCTTGTTTTGGATGTTTATGTCTGTGAAGTATTCCTGAATTTTTTTGTCTTTCTCAGCCAAGCTGTTCTTCATAGTTTCAATAACCTCCTTGAGTTGTTTAATTTCGCTTCTTGCTTCCTTTAAGGCCAGCTCTGCCTCCACACGATTACACTCTTCTTCGATCCAGTCTTCCCTCATCCGAACCAGCTGAGCTTTGAGCTCTTCTATTTCTGTTTCCCTGTAGCAAAATAAAAATGTTGTAACACTTCAGTTAAAGACTCAGCGTGAGGCTCCACCGCACCGGGATGGCTATACTGCACACTGCTACACTGCTCCAAGAAGGCAGCAAACTCCCCCCTGCACCTTTTGCTGCCGCCTTTGAAAGAGCTAGCAGAGGTATAATCCGGCTGCCCAGACATGCCGGCTGGTTGCTAACGGGGGTCACTGATCTGGCCACACAGCCAGCAGCCATGATCCCGCACGTTTTGAGGCGCAAGTGGTGACCTCTAGGTTAGGTCCAACCAGTACAGCACTTAACATCTCACCTACTGCCTCACCCTGGAGGGAAATGAGACACAGCTGCCTGGATGCACCCTCTGTGCCTGCCGGCGGCTCGTCACGCACAGCCAGAGCCCACGCTGGCCTCAGACAGCAGGACAGCTCAGGGCTGCAGGCACCCGGCTTGCTCTGCCCAGCGTGGTGCCAGAGGCTGCTGCCATGAGTGACTTGCAAGCAACTGGGGAGAGCGGGCCCCTACAGACGCAGAGGTTGGGCCATCCCCAGCTGGACCACAGGGTCCCTGGGACTCTGCCCTGGGGCTGCGTTCAGACAGCCCTTTGTGCCCACTTGGGCTGTGTGTGCAGGAGCGCCAGCTCTCAGGGTGCGGCTTTAGTAAAAGAGACGACATCTGTTGCTGTGTAATGCACATTGTCACTTCTTTGCTCAGCATCCATACAAAGGGCTATTGTGAAAAATTCAGTATCTAAGCAACAAAACCACAAGTGGGTACACTGGTTTGTGTAAGAGCTTTTCTTTCATTACGGGAGAAGGGGGACGTTTGCAGTCATATTTCACTGAGTGAGGTAGAACAGGAGACTAAGGTAACACATGCTGGCAGGTAAAAACTGTTTTCGGTACAAAAGGTCTCAATGCTAAATTCAAACTGGTAACAAATTATACTTTAAAACTACTCTACTGGGAAAGTTCAAAAAAGGGAAAAGAGACAGCCATATTCCTAACTAAACTGCATGGTACATATTCACTGAGCATGCTATGAAACCTGAAATACCTGAAAGCAACCTAATCAGACTGATCATATTTCAAATTTCTTAATGAACGATATATGTGGTCAAGAAACGAGTAAAAACATTCAGGATTCCACCCACAAATGCTGCTGAAGAAATCTTTCCAACTCTGATTTCTGAAGTGAAATATACCTTTCTTTAAGTTTGCTCTCAGATTCCTTCAGCTTTGTTTTCAAATGCCGTATGGTAACTTCCTTCTGCTGCAGAGGAGTCAAATACTGCTCTGGATTTGGCGGCTTGTCACCACAAGAATAGTATCTCCCTGGTCGCCTGAAAAGAAAAAAACCAAACCATCACATAACATCACTCCTACAGTTCTTCAGTCCTGGCAAAACTGAAAACATCCCACTGACTGATACAAAGCTGAGTCGACACTTGACTCATTTGGGGCTCCTCAGCGTCTGCACAAATGACTTCCTCTGGCAAATCAAAGTACTTGAAGAAACAGCTGATTTGTGGTTATAGCGCAAAGTTTGCTATTTAATGTACTTGGTTTCAGTGCCATTACATCAAATGAGACATTTAACTTTAGAACACCTCGCCATCCCCTCACCCCAGACGGGTGGTGTGCCCAAGGGCAGGCAGCCGGGCCACTGGCAAGGGCACCCAGCTGCACACACGGCCAGGTGAGGTAGTGTACGGACGGAGTTCAGCTCCACACGTGAGCCATGAAGCCCAGCACCCTGAAACCTACATTCATCCTGTTTAATTTTAGGTGTGTGTCTGACACACTCGGCTGCTGAGTTGCCTGAGAGAGAGAGAGAAACAGCAGCAGCGCGGTGGCAATTTATTCTCCGCAGCGTGTGTTACTCGCTCTGGCAGGTATCTGTTTTCTTTCCTGTACAGGAAACTGCACTCCTTAGGGAGGCGCCTAAGGCTGGGCAGGGTGAATTTTTGCCCGAGTGTATAATGTTTTCTGTACTACCCTACCCAACTCTCTCCAAAGCGAAAGGACCCTTATACGAAAGAACCAGTAAATCTACATGAGAATTGATGGCACGAAACCACATGAAGGAGCCTGCCTTGGAGTGAAAACCAACTACAAAGGGCTTTGATGAAAAGTAACCTTGAATTCTACAGTGCTGAAACAATAAAGCTTTCACATGGGATGGAGCACCCTGCTGACTGTCAAGCCACCAACATGAGGAGTCACACCTATGCTGAGGAGCAAGGTGACCTACTTGGCAACCCAGACAGCCGATCCCACGTTACAGAGCAGAGAAGGTAAGTCAGCGCGCTGAACGCCGGGATGCTGAAATAAAGACTTGCCTCATCACTGGGCTGCTGTCGCTTCCTTTGTATGAACCTGAGTTGCTGCTGCTGGCTGAAGAACCCCTGTAACTCTGATGGATGTTAGCAGGGGACGGCTGGGTTTTGTGCAGTGTTGACAAAAGGTCCTTTTCACAGGGAGCAGGTGAGTTGGCTCCAGGCTTGGAGGATAAGGATCCATTATTCCGACCATAAGGGCCACGACTGGAGGGGAACCAAAATGGTTAAAGCATTTTGGATTATCCTCATCGTGCAACTCATTATGTGTCTTATTTCACACACAAAATTGTCTAAACACTAAACCAGATAGATAACTGAGAGTGGTCGGGAGGAAAGAAAGTCCTGAAGTCACCAGCCACTGCACATTCCTTCACTGACTGTGGGGCACTCAGTCTGAATTATGTGATCTAGGAAAACCTCGGCATTTTCACATTTCTCTACGGATAGCACGGTTCCCAGTGACTCCATCAGATCATCCACATTCCCTGAACCTCTGACTCCAGTAAGCAATGAGAGGACTGCAGCCTGGACTGGTACCAAAAGAACCACGTCTTGGCTTTCCCCGGCCAGGCCTGTGGAGAGGTGCCCAGCCCTGGAGGTTTGCTGTAAGGCTGCTTTCACGCTCCTCAGCAAGCAGCCCGAGGGATCACAGCGTGCAGTGAAAACAGATTTTGTTTGAGCCACTCTTCTTTTCTGCCTTTGGCATACTGGGTGCTTCAGCTGTCACTGTCAGCTATTCATTTGCTTAGACATAGTCTGAACCCCACTGAGAGCAGGCTGAAATAGCATTAAAATACACAAAGGAAAGCACAGCCTTTTCTTTCTTCCTTCCAGCTTCCCTCATACATATCTACCTTTCTTTTCCACTCTTTATTAAATAATCTGACTGTCAACTGTGTGTGCTTGAAAGCAACTGGTATCTGCACTGCCCAACAGCTGCCAAAGGGCCGGGGCGCTCTGAGGACAGCTTCTCAGGGTGCGCTCCTCACCTGCTCACTTGGTTTGCCTCCCTGCACTACCGCACCGCTACCTTCGTCCTCCCATGGAAGTTGTTCTTCTAAACTGTAACAAAAGGGCAGGTTCCAAAAAAATACGGAAAAAGGCAAATCCAGCCAGCAAAAGAGAAGGCTTGAACATAAAAATTTAAATACCACAGAACTACGAAGCAAAATCTCTTCTTAAAATTGTCTGACTTGGTTTCCTCCCTTCTCTGAAAATGGAACAGTTTATAAGGAACAGATGGTTGAGCGGCTGCTGCAAACCTTCATCACACTGCTGCGGTTTGGGTGATTTTATAATTATTTTACAACGAAGGGCAGGACTGCGGCTTGTGACAACACTGAAATGCTTCATAGTGAGTTAAGGCAAACAGATACAAAAGAACATGTTGCAAAGGAGACGTCTCTTTCCACTTCGTACAGTACAGCATCAACTTGGGTGTGAGGCTGAACTTGCATGGACTGTGCATAACACAGCAATGTATTCGAAGGAGCCTTATTACAGAGGACTTCTGTCCCATTAAGTAGGTCAGTTTGCTCTAGTTTAAAGTCATATTTAAAGGCACAATAATATATGAAATGATACATAATCTTACTGAAAGTATGGTGATTTTAGGGCGTCGTATTGTACTCAGTACTGCTTTTTCCCACAGCCAGTAACTTGTTAGATTTAATCTAAAGAAAGCTTAAGTAATGTTTATATTTCTAACAGTCTCACGATGCAGATAGGAAACCACTCCTTAAGCATCATTCTGCCGATCTCTGCACACCGGGGCACGCCGCGACCTTGGAGATGTGTGTGTGACTCAAACATACGGGTATCCCGCTGCCGGCCCCAGCCCGCCTGCCAGCTCTTCCACAGAGGGCAGGAAACCAGTCCTGTCAATTTGAACTCTTTCCACCTACTCCGAAAAACGTTGCCAGCAGGGATTGCGTGGGCAGGGCACAACGTGCGCTGCTCCATCCCAACGCCCCCATATTGGCAAGCTGTCTGGATTTGCACTTCACATGTGATAGGGAGAAATCTTACAGAAATCTTTCATGAAAGGTTCGTTTAGATAGATGACTGGTTTTTTCTTTTCTGCATATAGTTTTAGTTATATAAAGGTTGGGCAAGGGTGTTTAAAAACAAAAAGCATCAAAGGCAATATTGCCTACTTCTTCCTGCAAAAAATAAGGTCCTGATCTGGAAAGGTATATGCCGAGCTGACAATCTATTACAGAGTGAAAACAAAGTGATAAGACCAAAAGGCTAAGGTTAACTAGTCAGAAGTACTGCTGTTATCTAACACACACTCAGTTGTTTCCTCCTCCACTCCAGCTAATGCCTTTTCTGCCTTACCTGTATGACCTATGACTGTATCTCTCATACTTGTTATGAATAAACAACAAAAAATACCAGTCAGCTGATCTGGCATAGCGACAATTTTTGTGCTCCAAATGCAGCATTTTTTTTTTCTGTCTCGTATCACAGTTCTCATCAGTGTAAGTCCTGCCCAAGAGCGTGGTGTTACCCACATTGTTTTAAAACTCACAATACTGGTATTGTGTGTATTAACTGCAAGGCCTTACACAGTAGTCTATCTTTGCACTAGAAACACTTGCAATATTCAAGAAAAATTGCTTTGCTTACTTGCGAGAAAAAGATGATCTTTTGCCTCCGGCAGCAGACATACGGACTTCAGGCACTGAAATACTGCCTGTGCTGCTTGAGGAGCTAAAATCGGCTTCACTCCCTGGAAAGGAAAAGGGAAGAGTGAAAACACGATGGAAACTATAACTCAAAGACCGTTTTCAAAATAACAATGAATCACAAGCATCCTTCCTTTGTCCATCCTGTGTGAATTTCAGAAGTTGCACGAATTTTCAAACACCCCTGAGGACAAGTGCTGGATTTGTTCCAGATTTTCAACATTTCTTCAGAACTGGCACTTCAGCAAGAGCAGAAAAAACATTCGGACCCAAAACCCTCATGCTAGAGAAGCCATTTTAGGACTCAGCCAGGAACATTTGTTGTGACAACCCGTTTGCTTTCTCACAGCCACCAATACATGAATGAGGCTGCTCACATGGCTCTTTCAGGAGCACAGTGATTAGGAGCACACAGTTCTAACTGGAGATTTCTCTTGCTTTAAACCATATGAAAATACTACTTGCTGGGAGGAAAGCTGCTTCTATTTTGGTTTCTGAGGTGATGGACACATATATGGATATATGTATAAATGAGTATATGCCAACAGGGCCTATGCATGCCTATATGTACACACATATGCAAGTTTTCATGTGGCACTGAATCATAGTAAGGCAGTTCTAATAGCCTTAAAACAATCCAATAATCACGTGTGGCTCTCAAATGCTTCTTGGTTGCTAAGCCATCTACCTGACCACTGACTTTCTGTGGATCACAGCTTTTATTTCCCAAGCTCTGGCATATAAAAGGAGAACTGCTCTCATTTTGCTAAGGTCAGTAGTGGGCAGATGTAATAAGAAAGTCATAACATCTGGAAAAAAACCCACCCCGAAGTTCGGATTTTTTCAGCCTGTTGCCTAAATGGCAAATGTCCCAAGCCATATCCAGGTCTCACGCTGCAGAGCTACAATAACGGATGGTGACTTTACCTGCGGGGATGGAAATAACTTTCCAACATCCTTTAAGCAGCTGGTCAGGGGGAGCATCTCTCACCTGAGAATTTCTGGGTGCTGTCCCACAGACAGACACCCCCGGCCAGTGGCTGCAGACTTACCACAAATACCACTTTCGCTATCTTTTCCACGAGGGGGAGATGCAGCTGCAGCTACCACCGTCCCCACAGGGACAGATAAACTTCAAGTGCACAATCTCTCTTAAACCCTTTGGAGAGCTGATGGTGATGGGCACGTCTTGCACCCCTGAATACCCAGGAATGGGAAAAGGCCTTGTTGGAGCTGTCTTCACAGCCTTAACAAGGATGAGACATCCAGCAACCATCCCTGCCATCCAGCAACTCTTAGCAACCAGTCCTAGGCTCAGATGTGTTTGGATTTAACCCAATACTTTCCCAACCTCACCAGGTCTGAGACCAGCCCCTGTTTCTCTGTGTCTCTGGTTCAGCCCAGCCCAGAATATTCCTCAGCCCAATTTCAAAGTGCTCAAATGCAAAGCTTAGTTCTTCAGAAGGGTATCTCAGGGGCCCAGCTTTATCACCTCTAACCAACTCCGTGCCCAGTACAACCCCCCGGACAATGAGACCCAAGTCACCACAGCTGTAACCACATCAGAACCGCCTGCGAGTGTGCCAGGGGAGGCAGGGAGAGCAGCAAAGCTGCTTTGTTTCACAGAGTATTTATATCACGTCTACAGATGTAGATGTCAGTGACCCTCTCCCTGGGGACACAAAATGACTGTGGGACTTGACGTCCAAAGCTGCAACAGAGTTTTCCTGATAAACAAAACACTCCCATCTACAAGACTAAAGCAGACACTCTGAATATTGTCTCGGTACCACGCTACTCCCAAATCTACTTTTCCAAACAAGACCCGGACAGGTAAACACGCCACACGGATATCATACCTCTGGTGTTTGGCCCCCCAAAGCAT